AACCTCTGGCGTCCACGTGGAAGGCTCCGTTCTCATGCGAGCTGCCAGTTGAGAGGGCCGCCTTATTTCCTCCTGCAGGTCCAGCGAGGTTCTTATCTTCACACAGAGAGCTGTGGCACTACAGAAGAAGCTGCCCGGCCATGGCCGGATTCTTTTGTGATCTTTAGGTTTTTTTCCCCCCAATTGGCTCCTAGCAATCAAGCGGGCTAGACGGCCCGAGAGGCCTCCCCTCAGCTGTAACCATCACGCTCGTTTCCAAGGCAGATGTTGTCCAAGATGTATGCAGTCAGACTCTCCCTTGTAGGCCAGGGGCAGCAGTCATAGCAAGGATCGGTCCTCGCGTTTGTGGTGGTTTCAGTAAAAACACAAGGCATTGTGCCGGCAGAAAACGCCAGCTGTGAATGAAGGCAGGGCTGAAGCTGTCTCTGACGGCTCTAGAGCTCAGGGAGCCATGTCGCTGCACTGGTGTCTGCACAGCCAGCGCTTTCAGTCACTTCCTGACGAGAGATCCGGTGTGAAGGCACTTCCTGTGGGCTATATTTAAAAATGATGACTACCATTAAAGGGGAACCCAGCATTTCCATTTCCTGATGTGGGTGCTACCCCCTCCCCACCCACCCCCACTCCACCCCCCGAGGTGCCAGGGGAAGAGGTGGGGGGGGTGTTTGGCAGCGAGGGGAGATCGCGGAGTGGAAGTCGTTCAGGACTGAAAGCTGGCTTTCTCCCAGCTTGGGCTGCAGTCAGCCTTTGCTGACTTCGAGATCTCACACCCCCCCGCCGGTGATGCTTCACTGAGGTTTGAGACCCTGTCGGGTGGGACCGAAGTGCCTGCTGTGTGTGAGGAGGCTGATCTCTCTCTATTGCAGCCCAGCTAGGGCCTATTTCACGCAGGCATTGAGGCAGGGACACTGGATACTGTTTCCAGAAAGCAAACTCCAGCCTTCTGTGTTGGTGAAGCATTAGGAAAGGCCAGCAGATTTACTGATGTGTTTTTGTAAGTTCTGGATTACATTATTGCTCCATCACTGCACCGTTTTCACCATCATGACTTCTCCTAATGTGCTTTGAGAAGTAAGTGAAATAACTATCTTTCTTCAGTAACGTACCTTTCAAGGTGATTTGTTTTTCCTGGGTTTTGTGTGAAACAATGATTACAGCTCTACACTGACCTGGTTTCACAAAACCAATCGCTCTTTCGGTTTTCAACATTTAGCAGGTTAGAGGCTTTCAAAGTCTTCCCACTTGGTTTTAGTGCCAGTCCTTCAAAAACACCTAGTAAAATAGGTTTTCCAAAGTAAAAGCAAAAGGTAGGGTTTGACATGAAGTGCATAAATAAGCCATCATCTTATTTCCCCAGTCTGCCGGGGGGCTGGTTGAATGTTTAAAGTATCTGCAGTGATAAGGAACAGCTGGAGCAGCTTCAGGCTGGTTTTCCCCAGAATCTTTCCCAGTGTTTTGCTCCCTCGGTCCCCGGAGCCGGCAGTGACGAGACTGGTCTCACTTTTCTTTCTCCTGCCTGGCTGTTTTATCAGTGCAAACAGGAAACAGGAAGGGAGCAGCCAGCTGCAGGTCAAAGGTCAAGCTGGAGAGGAAGAGGAGCTGAAAGAAGCCTGGTTTCCAGCACGGGGGGGGCTGGTAGCCATGGTGACAGCTTAGAGAACCCAAGCCACTCTGGGATGATGGGATGATGGTGGTGGTGGGTGGGGGGCAGGGTGTTTGTATTTTTTTTTAAAAGCCATTGATCATTGTACAAAGTCTGACAAAGACAAACACGTGGCCGGTTTCACATTTTTGGGGGTTTAATCTGGATGGAAATACAAGCCATAGATCTTTTTGAACACAACGGTGGTGGATGTTTCTTTCAGGGTCCCACAGTCATTTTTGTGGGGGGGGGGGTTGGGTGTTGAGTT